TGGTTGGCACCAGGAAAATGATGGGTTCAAGGCGAAAACGATAAAGACCCAAAGGAGTAAAGGAGTACGTTATCGATTTTGTTGCCAGAAGGCAGAGTTAGGGATCGATGGTTTAGGTTTGTTTGGCATTACTTTAAAAGTATAAGCCAAGGAAGGATTTAAGTGTACGTGATAAGTCACAACAATTAGAGGAGACAAGCGAGGAGTAGGAGCTGAAGAGGATCCTAATAGAGGAGATTTATGTGTCTCCAATAGATAGGGTACTAAATCTTGAAGATGAATGATCGCGCGAGGTGATCTAAATTGCTAGTAGTATAGCGAATATCGTAGGAGTACTTCACCCTGGGTAGCATCAGTTCTGTTTGTGAAGAATAAGGATGGTTCACTTCGGCTGTGTATAGATTACAGGGAGTTGAACAAGGTTACCATTCGTAACAAGTACCCTTTGCCCAAGATTGATGATCTTTTTGATCAGTTGAGGGGGGCTACTTATTTCTCTAAGATTGATCTGCGGTCTAGATATCATTAACTTCGGGTTCTGGAGCAGGATGTTCCGAGGACAGCGTTTCTCACTAAATATGGATCTTATGAGTTTCGGGTGATGCTGTTTGGGTTGACTAATGGACCAGCGGTTTTCATGGATTTAATGAACAGAGTTTTCAGGGCTTACTTGAATCAATTTGTCATTGTCTTCATAGATGACATTTTGATTTACTCAAGGTCAAAGGACGACCATGCTAGACATCTACGGATTATGTTACAGACACTTCGTGAGCACCAGTTGTATGCCAAGTTCGAGACGTGTGAATTTTGGCAACGGGTGAAGTTTCTGGGTCACGTGGTATTTGAAAGGGGAATAGTGGTGGATCCGGCCAAGGTTTCAGCGGTGGTTGAGTGGGGATAGCCTACTTCACCTACTGAGATTCGGAGTTTCCTCGGTTTGGCAGGATATTACAGGAGGTTCATCTAGGGGTTCTCAAAGATAGTGGGATAACTCACTCATCTAACTAAGAAGGGTGTACGGTTCGTGTGGGATGAACATTGTCAGAAAGCATTTGATGAGCTGAAGACTAAGTTGACTTCTGTACCGGTTTACACGGATGCTTCTTTGTAGGGTCTTGGATGTGTTTTGCTGCAGGAGGAGCAATCAATTTCGTATGGATCTCGGAAGCTTAAGCCTCACGAGCTTAATTATCTAACACATGATTTGGAGTTGGCATCTGTGGTCTTTGCTTTACGTATTTGGAGGCATTATCTGTTGGGTTAGTCCTTTAGATTATTCAGCGATCACAAGAGTCTGCAGTATTTGTTCACTCAGCGAGAGCTGAATATGAGACTGAATATTCAGCGATCACAAGAGTCATCACAATGAGGCTGAGTCCACTTAGGAACGGGAAGATGTCATTCGCTCGCAGTTTCCTGAAATATTGAAAGAAGGTAAGAGCGAATTCCGAGGACGGAATTCCTTTTCTTAGGGGGGAAGAATGTAATACCCCTAATTTTCAAAGGATATATCTGGCATTTAATTTTTGATTTAATTGCATTTTTATTTGCTTAATTGTTTTATTGGGGTAATTAAATTGAATTAATTGAGTATTTTTAATTATTTACTTGGAATTAATTGTTTAAGTGTATTTAATTATTTAATTGATTTCATTATGTTATTTTACTTAATTGGATTTTAACTTATTTACTTGATTTAATTATTGAACATTTTAATGTTACAGTTAACTTTAGATTATTTCACGTATAGGTGAGCCGCTGTAGGTTAGAACTTAAATAGTTTCATGGGCCGACTAGGATTGGAATTAGGGCTTAGTCTAATTATTCATGGACTAAGGTTATTAATATACACCTATAAATATACGTAATACGGTGGTTTAGGGTTTAGTAGAAAACGTAATTCTGTAATTACAAGCAGAGAACCTCCGTTCTCGTACTGGAAAAACCAAAGAGTTACAGAGAGGGATAAAGGGAGGAAGCTAGGGTTTTGGGCTTCAACTAAGACTAAATCAAGGAAGGGAGGTTGGTGTGTGTTACTGGACTGAACTAGGAGCAGCAAAGGGCATTTAAACATAACCGACGTTACCGGAGTTGATAGAGATGACAGTTAGAGATTTTAAACCAAAGTCTCGAAGGCAAGTCTCTGTTCTTCTCTTTCCCATGAATCTGTGCTCTGTGCATGCTTAGTTAGACTCCAGGAATTAAACTAAGTCTTAATTACATCTTTTATACATGTTAAATCAGTTTCTAGTATCATTGAATTAAATCTGTTGCTCAGTTGTTACAAGTTAGTTTATATATGGTTGTTGTTTGCTTTAAACATTGATGTGTAATAAAGTTCTTAGTTGTATAACTCTGTCTTGTGATCAATCTGGGATGAGGATGGGACTTTAAAACCTGTAATAAAACTAAATTCAAAGACTGGAAACCACCGGAGTCGGAGAAGACAACAGAAAAATAGACGCTTTCCTTGAAGTGGAGAAAGCTCTCCTTGAAATGGAGAAGGCTCCCCTTGAAATGGAGAAGGCTCACTTGTTTCAGAGCCTTCTCTTTTTCCTTTAATATATAAAACTGATAAATTGAGGTCTATTTGGTTAAACTGGATTTTTTCTAAGGCTGTCTATGTGCTTCTGAATAATGTAATTCACTGCTTAAGACTTACAAAATTGTTGGAAAGCAAGCCTACATTTCGATATTTAGGATGGGATTAATCTAAGCTTCAACAGAGAGTTCGTAGGTGGAGGATTGGAGAATTAACTTCTGTTGCTTACTGTTTTTGAAACTTTGATTTCTCTGCAAAATCTTAAATTGAGAATCATGTTTTCAACTGTGATTTAGGCATATAGTAATTTTATTATGTGTATGCTTAAATGGAGTTAACTGGTGTTTAAATCTGTTATACATTGCACCAGTATGGTATTATTTGGAGAGGTAGATTGTGTAATCTTATTTTACAAATTTAAAGGACTGGGATTTGGATTCTAACTCTGTTAGTGGATGCATGATTTAGTTTTACACATGTGAAATTGTATTTGTGCTTATTTTGGAATGTAGTTGATAACTATTTATACTGTTTTTGGTCAACTATGGTAAATGGAGGATAGTGTGCACCGGTATGGGACGGTGGCATACTAGGCATGAATTAGTTTAGACACTAAGCCTACCTAATCTGGATTGAGGTTCGGATTAATAATAAAAGTTAAGTTCGACCTCTATTAGTGTCAGGTTAGTAAATAACTGGATGACATAATTTGATTTGTGGGATGAATTGTTGTACAGATATCAAGCCACTATACCAGATGGATGATATTTTGTACTAGGAGGACACGGACTTTATATACTTATGATATGGTACCGTGGTATGAGCTTGAGTCTCAAGACCATGGTTAGGGTTCGTATATCGCCTAGGATGGATAGCTGGACAGAGCTGTTGTTTCCTGGTAGGTCTAACTACACATGACCACGTAATGTGCAATTTGTATTGTATCTCTACTCAGGCTGAAACAGACCTATTGGACTGGTGAGCGTCTATAGTGTGTAATATATACATATATGGACTACTCTAGATATTGTTGAGTCTATCTAAGATGTATCTGCATATCGAATTCCTGTTTGGATCGTAGTAGATCAGGACTTGCATGTGAGCCTGACCCACTCTCTTATTTTTCAGGTACTCGTTAGTTCCAGGGTTAGAGCTTGATCGTGCAGAGCAGATACAGATTTCCATTCCACCGACTACGTAGGACTACTATCTTATTAGTTTGGGTTTTGGATTACAGTTATGTTATTTTACAGTTGGGATTGTTATCAGGGGTCCACTAAATGGATTCCCGAGTTGTTAAATAATTGGAGGTTTTGGAGTTTGGATTTTTATAATATTACCTTGAGGATTTTCAATTAGAATACATTTCAGCTTTAGTATTTATTTTTAATTCAAATTTGTATTCTGCGTTCGATTTAAATATTAATTGTTTGATATTTCCCTCGGGTATGGGCTTGGGCCTGATCAACCCGTGTCTCAGATCCAAGGGGTATCTCAGGTTTCCTCGTTAAAATCCTAGTGTCATCTCTAATTTTATACTTTGCTTTATTTTATCTACATATGATTAATTGTTTAATTGCTAAAATAAGTAAAGTTGGTAACGACACATATCTATTTGCAAAACAAACAAAAACTTTCGAAGTATTTTCCACTGCGTACGACTCACAATTTAGTATCAGAGCCAATCTCTACACATTGAGTTGAACCTTGCTGGAAAGTTTTTGTTGTGTTTTTCAAAAATTGTTTTCAAAATCATGCCTTATGTGTTAAAAGAAGGTGTATCTAATCAACGTGGTCCTTTATTTGAAGGAGATAATTATAATTTTTGGAAATCAAAGATAAGAGCCTATTTGCAAATTCTGGTGGTAAAACTTAGGCAATAATTGAAACTGGTTATACACCTCCTACAGTAGATACAATTGTGTTGATGGTAAAATAGTCAAAGAGTTAAAAGATACTTTTGCTTTTACTGCTATTGAAACAGAGCGTAATGATGCTAATGGCAAAGCTTTATATTCAATTATTAATTCTACTATTCCATCTGAATATGCTAGAATTTCTAATTGTAAAACTGCTAAAGAAGTTTGGGATATTTTGCAGGTTACTCATGAAGGAACTTCTAAAGTGAAGTTGTCCAAAATTCAGTCACTTTTTCATAAATTTAGGAACATCGTGATGAAAGAGGATGAAACATTTTCTGATTTTTATTCTAGTCTTCTTGAAATAATTTCTGAACTGCGTCACTTAGCTTAAAAAAGTTAGTGATAAGAAAACCTGTGAGAAAATCTTAAGGTCTTTGCCTAAAAGATTTCTGATTAGAGTTGAAACAATCACTGAACATTGAGATTTGTCTACCAGTAAAGTAAATGAGATAGTAGGTTCATTGAAAACTTTTGAGATGCAGAATTTTGATTTAGATCAGAAGGAGAAAAATCTTGCTTTAAAATCTATACAGGTTGAGAATTCTGTGGATGACAACTCTGATGATGATCTGGCATTCTTATCAATGCAAGACAGTAAGATTTTGCAAATGTAGCAGAGGAGTAGGAATAGTAACATGCCTAATCCTAACAAATTTGACAAAACGTCGAAGTTTAGGTTTAATGAAAAGAAAGTAGAAGAATCAAAAGAAACTGAATTCATTTGCTGGAATTGTGGTGGCAAAGGTCATGCATCCAATGTTTATCCTAGTCATAGGAAAGAACAAAAGGATAGAAATAAAGGAAAAGCAATGAAAGTTTTTATGTCTAAAAATTCTACTTTGAGTGATAGTGATTCTCCTCTGAATGATTCTAATGATTTTTCTTATGTCACTTTTCTTGATAAAGTTCCTCATGTCATGTCTTTATTTGACTCTGATATTTCAAATAATGAAGACAATAAGTTTCATGATGAACAGGTACAAGAGGCTGAAAAGGACGATGAAAAGTTGAAGAAGATGTTCAAAGAAACCATTGAAGTCAAACAGGCAATCAATAAGCTAGCAAAGGAGCTTATCCAAACAAAAGGAGAGAATGCAAATCTAAAGAAACAGATTGATGAAGGAAAAAAGAAAAGCTTTTGAAAGCAATTCTGGCATCACTGAGCTTGAGAAGAAGATCATCATTCTGGAGGATAAGGTAAGTATTGCTAACTTATTGAACGAATGTCTTACTTTGAAAAATAATTATCTTGAAGTTGAATTGAAATCTGAAAAAGATAAACTGAAAGGGTTTCAATATGAGTCAAAACAGTTTGAATAAGATAATCAACATGGGTAAGGATATGAATGATAAAACAGGGTTAGGATTTGTTAAAGGTTTTTCTAATAATCAAGGTAAACCCACTTTTGTTAAGCTTGCTATTATGCCTAAACTATGTTTGCCTGATGCATCACATTCTGATATGTCTTATGTGCCTAAATTGTTGCATTACACTTTTTGTGGAAAGAATGGACATAAGTATAACTCATGCCTTCATAGGAAAAAGAAAGACTTTTTTGAAAATTATTCTAAAAATTCTCATGCTAAGAAGAAGGTGCATTCTAGGAAGAAAAAGAATGTTGTGTCACCTAAGATTTCTAAAGCTGAAAATTTACCTAAGAAAGAGATAAATAAAGAAAAATTTCAGGAAATGAGAGTGAGAACTATTTGGATCAAAAAGTCTGATTTGATTCATCATGTGCCTGTTGAGTCCATGGAACATTTTTCCAAAAGGACTTCACCTTCAAACTGAGTCCTATGAAATTCAATGATCATGGCCTGTGTTTAAAAAAAAAATTTGTTGCCATTGGATCACTTGTCAGGGTTTGGCTAGGGTTTTGAGTTTCTAATCATAGTCTTCAGGATATATTTGAGAAAATTCTTTCATTGAATTTATAATCTATCTTTGAATACAAATTTGGACACATGATTTTTGATTAAAAATAGATTCTTGGCTTGTAATCTATACAATGAAAGTTCATTTGCATTGATAAAGGGATGTTTAGATTTGAATCTCTTAAGTTCATAACCTTTTGTGTACTAGTCCAAATCTGAAAAATTTAATTGAAAATCTTTGAATTGTTAACCAAGGTATATTGATCATAAAAGCTATAAAGGTTATTGTCTAAAAAAAATAGGAGCTTAAAAAAAAAAAAAAAAAAAAAAAAAAAAAAAAAAAAAAGATTCAGCATGAAAAAGAAACGAAAAAAATAAAAATTTGCTGAATTCTTTGTTTAGGAAAAGGCTACCTATTGAGATGTGTTCGAAAGCTCCCATTAGACTTTGAAGAGAAACTAATTGAGTAAAAAGAAAGGTGGAGACAAGTTGAATTGGGGAATTGTTGTCTGCTCTTTAGAGTGAAAGCTACCTTACTTAGAAAAATTGCTCAAAGACAATTTTATCTTGATATTTTTCGATCAATATAGTTTGGACAATGATTTATTGATAATTGATTGAAAATTGATGAGATGGATTGCACACACATACTTGAACTTGCTAGATTGATTTCTAATTATTTCATTAAATTATGCAAGTTAAAATTCATGTGGTGATTATTTCCTGAGAATTGAAATTGATTAAATATTCTGTGGAGTCGAAATTTTAATTCATAGATATCTCTAAAAAATTTTTGGAAAAAATTGAATCAGGTGTGGACTTGAAAGACTTTGATTGACTGCTCAATGATTTGTTTTTATTTTTGTTTTGTTTTAAAATTAAAAATAAAAAAATATGATGAAAAAAAAATTGAAAAATTATAAAAAATTCAAAAACATTTTTGTTTTTAGTTTGTAGTTTTTTTTGATTTGTTTGATTATTGAGTGAATCGCAAAGTCAAAGGAAAGTTTTTCTGAAAAATTTTCAAGTTTAAAAAGACATACTGTCTCTTTCGTACCAGTTCCCCATGGTTCCTACCAATTCAAAGTTACAAGGTTCAAGGCTCAAGTCTCTGGAGCTTGGCTACCGGTACCACATATTTGGTATCGATTCCAAAGTGGTCCTCGCTTTGTATAGACTCACTGCTTAGTGTGAACCGGTTCCCATTTTGGCTACCGGTTCTTGACAGCGAGTATTGGCAGATATAAAACCCATATGACATGTTGTTGGGTATTGTTTCATAAACCCATTTTCTCTTTATATATTCACTCTCTTTCTCTCTCTCTATATTGCTCATATATATATCTTCATATATTTTGTTCAACCTTGCATCATACTCATCCTATATTTGCAAGTTAAACATGAAATCATTCACATGATCTTGAGAGTTGAAGATTGAACGTTAAAATTGAAGTTTGAAGAGAATTTGTGGAGTTTGGGGTTTTACAAATTGATGCGCACAAATGTGTACCACTTAAAAATACCACTTATAATAATAGCACATTCATCATTGCAGATTAATGCTAGAGTAGGGAGTTGTCGAACAACAAGGATTGCTAGTTTATGGCAAACAGAATTATACAACTACTTCCTCCATTTGAAAAAAGAAATGATAAATTGATTGGTTTGTCACTTAACCTACGAAATTAACTTTCAGAAGACAATAAATAATGTGAATAGGATGGATTGAACTTATAAAGAGAAGGCTAAGGAATTGACTTCACCTCAACCTCATAAACATGTTAAACTTGCACTCAACTTGGGGATTGACAATTATATATATATAATGATGTGTAAGAGCATAAAACTACCATAACATCGTCAAGAAGATCATACATTCAGGACCAAGCATAAACTAGATTGTGGTATGAACCATCTTCCCTAGGTATGGCTTATCAAGGTTCTTCAACAGTATGTTGTAGCACATGAAATTAATTAAATATTATAGATTATCTTCAGTTGGTATGGACCATCTACCTAACTACATTAATCTAAGGATGTAACATGATCTATCTTTCTTAGGTATAACCTATATAAATGCTCAACTTTATGCCAATATAACCATTTCATAAATTCTTTCCCATTGTCACTATAGGAAATCAAGTGTAATACTTGTATCAATATGATTTCTAAGACAAGACAACAAATCAACACAAATTTATATTCATATGATAAACACATGCATCAATTCAATGTAAAGAACATCAAGTCAATGTAGATACTTCTAATTTATGAAACTAAATATATACAATAAAAATCCCCAAATTGAAATACAAATCAAACCATGTTTGCTTGGTATAAGTTACATAAACTCCCTAGAAAAGGGATTTAGCCTCTCATGAATATGACAACAACATCCAGGATTGAAGAAGAGAATAGAATCACCTCTCTCACCATTGTTGCAAGCTTAGCCTCCAAGAATCCTAAAAATCCTCCTCTCTCTCTGTATATTTTCAAAAACAAAAACAAGAGATCTCTCTCCTTCAGCCTTTCCTCCTCTCTCATTAAATATGTAATATTTGACGCTTATCAGACCCCCAAACTTACATTTTGCTAGTCCCTTAGCAAAACAAAATTGAAGCACAGACTTCTCCTTTTTCATGGAAGTGACGATTGCATTTAGCGTATGCAATAAGTCTTTTAAACCCCTAGGTATCCCTAAAGGATGAGTGAAGTCTCGTGAGGGTTTACCAAAAATGATACCCACAAACACTAAGTAATAAGGCTCATTCTAGTATAAATTGAAACATATGACTTTAGGGAAAAACTCTATCAAGAAGACTACAACAAGTATGCATATAATGACATCTCAAAACAATATTCACTTCCCAGCCCTCATGCATCAACAGACTAGTCCACATACATGATCTTCAACATCTCATTTATAATAGAATTTCATCTCAAGATCCTTTGAAGTGAACCGAAATTTCATTTTATTTAAGAATGCACTTTTAACCCTTTTATGGCTCATTCAACATTTTCACATCCTTAATCAATCTTTTGAAATCATAATCCAAGGCATACATTTATTTGAACACATTTTGTGAGTTTTTATTTTTATTTTTATATATGATCTTGTGCAATGTCCAAGTTCCTTAAGCTCTCTAACCACCCCATGTAACAAGCGCTGAGCCAACGACTCCCAAACTAAATGGTCTTAGGGCGTTAAGTGTAAAGACACTCCTAAAGGCGTAATGACTCAGAATGGTTAGGCTACAAACTCAAACTAATCATACATCTTACATTCTTTCCTTATCTTCCTTTTTAATCAGTTGACATGTTGAAAGAATGCAGTTTTATTTATTTATTTATTATTTATATATATATATATGTCAAGGATTATTTCATTCATCTGACCTACCAATTCAAGGAGTCAATTAAGTAAAACCACAAGGAAGAGAATGCAATTTTCGATGTGCTCAATGTGCATTGTGAAGTCACTTAGAGATGAAAGATTCCAAAATAAAACATTTAAATCATACAATGGACCTTTTTCATTTGAACAATCATGCTAACAACTTTCAATCATTCCTTGATATCCTATATAAGTATACAAGCTGTATTAATCACATAAATTTCCCCTCCCCAAACTTAGTTCCAACAACGCCAAAAATCATTTGCCTAAACATACAAATTTTTTTTAATTAATTAATTTTTTTTTTTTAATAAATCAATTCAACTATAAACAATTCAACCATATTCAATAATGACAATCTGCCTGTGAATAGCTAACTTTCAACACCCCGAAACTTAAATGATATATTGTCCTCAATGTATGAAAACATGTATAGAAATTAAGCATGCCAAAAGATGTAAAAGGAGAGAAACTACCGAGTGCGAGATAATAACTTCAGTGCAACCAATCGTAGTGAAAAAGTGAAATTTCTTCCCCCAAACTTGGACTTGATAATCTGTTCACAAAAACTATATACCAAGCATAAAAGCATAGACATATATAAAGATATAACTATGAAGTAATATGTCATGCTTTATTCAAAACTAGGAAAGAAAACCAAAATATGTGCACATTAAAAAATGCACCCACAATTGTCATGACAAACATAGCCCAAATCCTAAAATTATTCAAAGCACACAAAACAGAAGTAAATAGCATGAACTAAATAAAACAAAAGAGCAACACAATGCTCAATCCTCCATAAAGGTGGAAGGAGATGGACCCGGAGCGGCACCACCACGGTCAATAAGTGAATGCATCATAGCCTGCAGA